CCCGTACAAGCCAGATTTTAAAGCCAGCCTGGAATCCATTCATTGCGTGAAGTTTAGGGGCGGTAAGGCAAGTAGCTGGGCAGAAGTGGGTTGCTGATTTGCACCATTCACCCACCAAGAATGAGTGAAACTAAAACTCACTGAGGCATATCATGGGTGGAAATCCATCCCACTACAATCCAGGAACACGATTTTCCTAACAAATGCATACGTTTCTTAACTATACGCACATTCCCCTCCGTCCTGCCTTTCTTCCACTTGTCACGACTTGGGGGTAGGAGCCTAAGGAGACTAAACTCGACATGCTTAAGGTTTTGTGTGCAGTCTTTTAGTAAAATCCACCCTTTCTCTAACACCCCTGGCCCGCATCTCCGTTCTGCCGGTTTCCAGCCCCCCTCCCCCCGCGTGTACGGGTGCATGTGTGACACGGGCAGCCGGATTCACGCCCGCAGCCCTGCTGCAGACGGTGTCGCAGAGAAAACGCTCGTTTCCCTCTGCAACAGACCTCCTCATTCTACCCCAAAACGGGAGAGGGAGAAGTACCTTAAAAAGCCCCACTGGGCAAGCCGGAGAGGTGCAGGGAGCCCGACCCGCTTTGAAGCCGTCCTGCCGGGCAGCCTGATGGGTTCGCCTCCGGAGGGGGAGGGGAGAAGAGATTGTCCCGAGATCGCTCAACCGCAAGAATGAATGTCGCTCGGAGGAATCAGGACAGCTATTACAACCAAATCCACTAGCAGTCTAAATAATTAATTGAACCATTGCTCTTTGACCCCTGCGAAGTCCAATAGGGACCCGTTTGTAGTAATAATGACCCCCCCCCAAAACGAGCCCTTGTCAAATATTCATTTAGTGGTTAATTCGAGCCATTCCCCCATGGGACAGGCTGTAATACCAGCCTCCGGCTTGCCAAGAAACCCTGTTGATCTACCTCGGAAGGTCAGCAAAATATTTGAACACTCCGTCTTTAAATCCTGAGGGAGGGTAGGTGGGTAAGTAGGTAGAAAGGTTGTACGTGCATGGTGTATGTGTGTGTAAACAGAAAGATGAAGAGATCTTCTGTAATTATATACATACATACATATACATATATATTACATACATAAGGTATGTGTGTAGTGTGTGTGTGTATATATATATATATATATATATACACACATACTATATATATATATACACACACACACACACACACATACACACACACTATATATATATGTGTGTGTGTATACATACACTATATATATGTGTATATTTGTATACACACACAAAGGTTGTATATATACATATATCACGCACATACATGTGTGTATTTGTGTGTGTGTATTTTACAGAGGATCTCTTCACTTTCCATCTGCCTCTATCTTTTGGCCGAGTATATTAGGCTCCGATTGTCACCACCTAACAGTGAACCAACGCAAGGAAAATTCCCCGCAGCCAGGATCCGAGGTTCCGTCCACCATAAAGGATCGTGAACGGCGCTAAAAAAAGGGAAAGGGAAGCCAAAAAGACCCGAGAAAGGAAGCGGGGATTGGGGGGGGGGGTTAGAGAGAGAGAGAGGACAGTTAAACCAAGGTGCGCTGTATGGAAAAAAAATCTCGAAATGGCTGGGCTGTATTTGCTAAAGTCAATTGAAAAACAAAGATTTGCATGGAGATAGCGTTTCTGTACGGTTTATTTTACTGTGGGCCAGCGGGGCCCTTCGAAATGCGTGCATAATTTCTCCAACAGAGGGTTCCCAATGCTTGTTCTTAAATACACACACACACACACACACACACACAAGAGAGAGAAAGAGAGAGAGAGAGAGAGAAAGAGAGAGGCGGGGTGATGTGTTATCACCTTTGTTGTGATTATTATTTGAAAAGAACAATGCCATTATTATTTTTAACTCCGTTCTCTCCATTTGGAAGAGAAACAAGCCGCCGACTTCCAAGAAGCGTCTTTGGTTTACAAAGAACATTTGCGAGATTTCTTTGACCCGCGCGCTATCCGGGGGTTAGTTTTGTTAAGCCGGATTCACCCCCTCACTTCTCATCCCCCTCCACGTGTAGCTAACCAGCTAACCAGCACAAAAGCTACAGTCTCCTTTTGTCCGATTGTCAACAGCTATGGCGGGGGGGGGAGAGAGAGGGAGAGGGAGGGAGGGAGGGAGGGAGGGAGGGAGAGAGAGAGAGAGAGAGAAATCCATCTAGAAAGTTTGATTTCCGAAGACTCGAAGAGGAGAGAAAGGGAAAGAAACCTCGACAGCCGAAAAATACTGGCCCCCTCCCCGTTACAAACGGAAACAATTCCTTCGAATTTCGGGTGTTCGTTAAGAAGGGTGGCAGACGGGGGAGAAGAGCGCTAAGAATGTCCAAAACACGTTTCTGACGGTAGAGAAAAGAGAAAACCGGCGACTATCGGTTTAAACTGGGCTTAAACGGCGGAGCTAAACGGGTCCTTCCCTAGAGGCCTGGCACAACTACACAAACCCATTTTCGAAAATGTAGGGATTCACCCAAACGTGCGGCCCAAAGGGCTTGTGAGATCCATTTCAAAGAAGCGAAGTAGAAAGACTTTAGGAAAAAAAAGTCCAGCATTGAACCCCGGGCCGACTTAATCCCAGCTAAAAGCGGGGAAGAAACCGAGAAACATCCGTCCCACCCTATGCAGGCATTCCTGCATTTCCCCCCCCCCCTCCACACACACACACACACACACACACACACACACACACAACTTTCTATGGGGCCGAATATTTTAGTCGGCAAATCTGGAAATCCTTCCCGGCAGGCTAGTTTTTAAAAACTGATTTCCCGGAAGAAATTCAATAGCTGTGGAGGATTGATAGCCGCGAGATGGTTCCAGCTTGCCTGCTCCAAATCCTAGACGGCCCAGTGGAAGGAGCTGGCAGATCCAGCCCTCAAATAAAACGCAAGGAGAGAAGGAATAAAGAAAGGGTGGAAGGAACGAAAGGAGAACGGCCAGTTAGCTCTGCTCCAGAACGACATAACTCACAATACAAAAAAAAAATCGCCCACTTAAGAGATAAGCGCGCGGGGAGGGGGGGAGAGAGTAAAAAAAGATGGGGTGCTTCCTCAACCTGCTTCCCTATCCAAAGCTAATGGTTCTCCTGCCACCTCGGACTTTCACCCGAGGCCTAATAGGCCTCCGTCTATTCCTCCTGGTAGTCAGGCTCAGACCCTCTGAAAATAAATACGGCCAGCAGAAATAAAATCCTACAGGCCGGAGAGTTTAATGGGATTTCTTTTTCCCCTCTCCGCCCGGTTGGGATAGAGGCGCGCAAGACAAGATTATGCCGGGCTAAGGCACTTTATGAACCTGGTGTGTGTGTGCGCGCGCGTATGTGTGTGTGTGTGTGTGTGTGTGCATGTGTGTGTGTGTGTCAACCACCCAGTCCAAAGCTCCCCCAAAGCCCGCAGGCAGCCCGAATGATTTACTCTGTGCTTGCTTTCCCCTAAGGGTTTGGTGAGGACCATTTCGTCCTTCCTTCGACGGCTTGGATGGGGCTACCCAGCAGGTGCGCCGCTGCCCCCCCCCTCCCAGGTCTGGGAGAGAGAGAAAATATCCAGGGCCGCCTTCTCTTAACAGACCCCCCCCCCGCTGCCCTTTTGAAACAGAGACCTCTGAAGAAACCGCAGCCCCCCCCAAAAAAAAGTTAACCAAGATCCACGTTTGCCAGACAGATGCTTTCTACTTAAATGAGACTTTTGGAAGGGGGGGAGAAGGGGGGAAGGAGAAGAGTCGCCGCCGCTTTTTCTGCAACAGGCTCGCGGGCGAAGGACGAATTACGAGGAGGAGGCGAAAGGGAACTTTGGAGAAAACCTAGAGCGTTACAGCCACGGGGGTGATTTACCTCGAAGTGATTTACCTCTATTTACGTTCCTCTCCTTCCTTCCCTGCGCAACTCGGCCCCCAAGTCACACATTCTTAGAATATCTATTTATTCATTGCACTAAAAGGAAGGAAGGAAGGAAGGAAGGAAGGAAGGAAGGAAGGAAGGAAGGAAGGAAGGAAGGAAGGAAGGAAGGAAGGAAGGAAGGAAGGAAGGAAGGAATTAAGAAAGAAAGAAAGAAAGAAAGAAAGAAAGAAAGAAAGAAAGAAAGAAAGAAAGAACTGGGAGCCCCTGATCGCCCCCAGACCGTCCTCAGCCCCACAGCCGGCCTTTCAGCACTGTCAAAATATACAACTACCCCGGAAGGGTGACCTTACTGCCCGCTTTCCGGCAGGCACAACCCGAGCCCCTTCGCCTCTTTCACATCCTGCTTCCGGAAGGTGACCGGGTTGATCTGAAAGAAGGCAATCAGCAACCCCGCCTGTGTTGTTTATTATTATTATTATTATTATTATTATTATTATTATTATTATTATTATTATTATTATTATTATTATTATTATTATTATTATTATTATTATTATGAGCTCTGGGCCAGCCAGTCCATTTTCAGGTGAACGTTTTGGGGCCCTTCGCAACAGGTGGTCGCTTCTTCCCGCTGCAAAAATTGCCAAACTTCCTTTCCACACCGAAGGAATTACTACCCACCCACCACCACCATCACACACACACAGAGACACACACCGCAACGTCACCGTCTCCAACATTACCACCATCACTAACAACTAGCAACATTTTTAATTGCAACAAAACCAGACCAGAAAAAACTAGCTGCTCGATAGATGCATTTTATCTTTGGCGAAGATACACTGATCGTGTTCTGGGCCACGTCAATTTCAAATGCTGTTTTTCTTTTCATTAAAATAACCCGAGTTAAAAAATGACCCTTGAAAACCAGACGGTGGAGATTGCCCTGACTTTGCAGCTTTTTATACTGTAAAAAAAAATTAACCCCACAGCATATATAATGATAAAACCTTGACCAGGCTGGATTTGTGCCTTTTTTAAAACAAACAAACAAACAAACAAGAACAACAATTAAATGAATAAATGAATGAATAAATTGCATCCTGCTTGTAAAAATAAATCAAAGACTCAAATGTAATTTCAGTGTCCATATTTCAAAAATTTATTTATCTCAAACTGTGTATAATGGTGTAAAAACTGAGGCTGAATATGAACCTGTTTAAAAGGATGGTATTAGTTCAAATATATATGGTATATATACATATTCTTGTGTGTGTTCATACCTACACACATATGTATATATAAATATATGAAGGATTGTTGCCAGACTGATTTCAGATAATACACAGCCGAGTTTTAAAGTACAACTACTGGAAATGAGAAGGGGGGGGGAATAAAAGAACTTAAAATGTCATCACAATAAATTTACAGAAATATTACAAACCATAAGAAAATATTTCAAACACAGTTTTAGGTTGCTCTTTTGTTGTCCTTTTAGCCAAACAGGATAAAGTTTGGAAACAAAAAGGCCTATTTAAATTAACAAAGTATGTGGACCTGCAAGACAAGGTTTGTTTGTTTTAACAATGTGTAAAAAAAATTTAGTACACCCTAAACTGTTGCCCTTTTTTATTAAAAACAAAAACAAAACAGTTCGGTGGTATGCAATTACTTATTCTATTCATTTTTTTTGCCGTTTGTACAATTTGCTAAAACAATTAAAATGCCCAGATCTTCGTTTTAAAGTAAAATTCACTTCCTTATTTTTTTTGTCTGTGTGTTCCTACTATAAATTCATTTGCAATCACTACAGCATCATAAGCAGATTTTGTTGTATTTTAAAAATAATTGGCAAATGCTCAGGGTTCCCCCCCCCGTCTCTCTTTTTAATATAAACAATGAACTTTTCGATTGCCATGTTTGTTTTGATAAATACTGTACAAAAGTTGCTTGCAAATATTAAAACATTTCCCATCCCCTGTCCCTGGTCTTTCCCTCCGTCTCTTTCTGGAGCCTAGTTCTAAAGAATATTGATTTAAAAAAAAAAACTTTTTTTTTAAAAAAAGAAAAAAACTTTTTGCAAAGTAACCGTTTTCACTGGAACTGGATGCGCGCGCGCGTGTGTGTGTGTGTGTATCTCTGGGGGGGGGGGGAAAGAGAGAGAAATGTTTGTTGGGGGTCAAAACAAGCTGAGTGGAGCCGATCCCTCTCCGAGCGGAGAGGAGGGGGGAGGGTGTGGTGGAAAAACTGTACAAGTTTCCTGGGTGGGTTATTAATATTATTATTATTATTATTATTTTATGTCTTGCTTACCCTTTCCTTGCTGACTTTGTACGCGATCTGCTTTCCCCTACCTAGTTATTCTCTGTACAAAAATAGTTGCCCCCTCCCCCGCCCGCCCCAGAAAAAGAGGAGAGGAAGAAGGGGGGGGGTGAAAAGGCAGAAAGAGTCCAACCTTGCTAAGAAAAGTTTGTCGCTGGGTTACGGGTTTCTCGCGCTCCTTCCTTCCTGCCGAGCCCCCCCCTCCCGCGCCGCCCCCCCCGGGTCTTACATGTGGGACAGAGGCAGCGTGCCGTTTATCGCCGCTCCCGGCACAGGTGCGTTCTGGTAATGCTGCGACATGTGCAGTCTGCTGGGGGCGGCCGGCTCCGCCACGTCGGCTCCGGGCAGGTACATGCTGATCATGTCCCGGAGGTCTCCGCCTTGGCAAGGAGCTCTGGAGTGGGACGAGGAGGTGACGACGGGCGGGCTGGAGCTGGACTCCGTCTTGACCCCGGAGCCCATGGAGCTCAGCCCCATGGCCGGGGTGGCTTGCTGCGAGTAGGACATGCCGCTGTAGGTGGGCGAGCCGTTCATGTAGCTCTGCGAGCCGGCCATGGAGTTGTACTGCAAGGCGCTGACGTCGTAGCGGTGCATGGGCTGCATCTGGGCGGCGGCGGCGGCGGCGGCGGCGGCGTTGTGCGCGTTCAGTCCCGGGTGCTGCGGGTAGCCGAGCTGCTCCTGCATCATCCCGTAGCCGCCGTTGGTCCAGCCGTTCATGTGCGCGTAGCTGTCCATCCGCTGGTTGACGCCGGCCGCGCCCAGCGGGGCCCCCACGCCGACCCCGGCGCCCATGGCGTTGGAGCCCGGGGCCAGCAGCCCTCCCGGCAGCGTGTACTTATCCTTCTTCATCAGCGTCTTGGTTTTCCGCCGGGGCCTGTATTTGTAATCCGGGTGTTCCTTCATGTGCAAGGCGCGCAGCCGCTTGGCCTCGTCGATGAAGGGTCTCTTCTCCGCCTCGGATAAAAGTTTCCACTCGGCCCCCAGGCGCTTGCTGATCTCCGAGTTGTGCATCTTGGGGTTCTCCTGGGCCATCTTCCGCCGCTGGCCGCGGGACCAGACCATGAAGGCGTTCATGGGTCTCTTGACCCGGTCGGGGCTGTTCTTCTGGCTGTTGGCCCCCCCGGCGTTGCTGTTCCCCCCCGGGCCTCCCCCCGGAGCCGCCTGGGGGGCGGGAGGCTTCAGGTCGCTTTCCATCATGTTGTACATTCAAGCGGCTTGGCCGGCGGCGGCGGCGGCGGCGGGGGCGCAGCGGCGAAGGGTTCGGCCGGGCAAGCCGGGCGGGCGGGCGCTCAGAGGCAACCGGCGCTCATGCAGGGCCCGCGAGGGCGAAGAAGTCCGACGGGCGCCGCTTCCCCCAGCTCCGCCCGGCTGGAGCCCGAGCAGCGGCGGCAGCAGCGGCAGGAACAGCAGGAACCCCCTGCCTGCCCGCCCGCCGGCCGCCCAGCCGGCCAACCCAGCCAAGAAGAGCCTCCCGCCAAGGAAGCGAGTCAGGAGCAAGGGAGTTCCGGGCCGGGCCGGGCCGGGCCGGGCTTCTCCGGGAGGGGAGCCGCTGCCCCCCAAGCGCCCAACTCCGCCGAGAGGACGGCCGGCGCCGGGATCGCCTTCGGGCTGACCGGCGGAGCCAGCAAAGAGCGGCGACGTCAGCCCTCGGACGGTTATTCGCGCCGCTTCATAACAAAGGAGAGGCTGGATCGGAGCGTCTGAGAGGAGAAACTTCTTCCCGAACTGGCCGGCCGACGACGTCTCCCCTCCTTCGGCCGCCTCGACTTGCAGCCTTTCTCTCTCTCCCCCCCCCCCCCTTCCTTCGCCGGAGCCCGGAGTCTTTAAGGAACCGGCCCGGATCCCTGTTTTGCTGGGCTTTGTTGTGCTGCCCCCCACCCCCCGCCAAACCCGCGCCCTCTCCCCTGGTCTCTCTCTCTCTCTCTCCCTCTCTCTCGCGCCCTCTCTCGCTCTCTCGCGCGCTCTCTCTCTCTCTTTCTCCCTCTGCCTTGACAACTCCGGATACTTTTTTGAACAAGTTAATAGACAACCCGTCCATGTGATGGGGGGCTTGTCAGGGAATAAATGCCTCCGCCTCGGCCAATCAGCGCGCGCCGGCTCCTCCACTGAGGACAAGTCTCCCCGGCGAGTTTTGCATGAAAAGGGGCGGGGCTTCCCGCGCGCGCCAGCCGGGACGGCTCGGCTCGGCTCGGCTTGTGGGGATGGGGATGGGGGGGGGGGAGGGAGAGAGAGCGAGAGAGAGAGAGAATGGGGCAGGCGGGGAGGCGGGCCTTGGAGGAGGCGAGAGCGCTCCCCCCGCGGGCCCCCTCGGAGCGCCTCTTACGAGCAACAGGTCACACACGCCTCGCGGAGGAAGTGTGTAAACAGCATTGTTGCTACATTAAAAAGCAAAACAACGCGCCCCCTCCGAGGAAGGCCTGCCCGGCTGCAAGTTGCTGGTGCCTCGCAAACAAACAACAACTCCCCCCCCAAAAAAAAGAGCGAGAGAAAAAGAAAGTTGCAACTTTTTTTTAAAAAGTGTGATTTGCAGAGGAAGGGGGGGGGTTGCGAGGACCCCCCCCCGCCTTTGCGAGGACAGGGACTGGCTTTCCGAAAACAGGCCGAGGGGATCGGCCCGCTTGAGGCCTCCGGAGATCCTTCCCGGAGCCGGCCTAAGATCCGGGAGTAACCCCGGCCGCCTTCCCTACCCAAGTGCCGCGGCCCTCTTAGGCGCCCTCCTCGCAGGGCAAAGCGGGGCGGCCGGTGGCCTAAGGAATCTAGAGAGCCTCGGACTGGAAGGAACCGGGTGGGTTTCTCTCTCTCTCTCTCTTTCTTTCCTCTCCCTCCCTCCCTCTCTCCCTCTCTTTCTCTCTCTCTCTCCTCTCTCTTTCTTTCCTCTCCCTCCCTCTCTCCCTCCCTCTCTCCCTCTCTTTCTCTCTCTCTCTCCTCTCTTTCTTTCCTCTCCCTCCCTCCCTCCCTCCCTCTCTCCCTCTCTTTCTCTCTCTCTCTCCTCTCTCTTTCTTTCCTCTCCCTCCCTCCCTCCCTCCCTCCCTCCCTCTCTCTCTCTCCCCTAATGGCAGCCGTGCAAAGGAGACCTGCCCCCTCCCTACGCCTGGGGCAGAGTCCCCCTTCGGATGGCGCTGCTGCTCCCACGTCTCCCTGGAGGTGAGGTTGGGCTGGCTTGGCGCCCTCTCTTCCCCCGAGAGCAGAGGCGGCCCTCCAGCCCAAAGGCTTCTCGGCCCTCTCCTAGATCGGCGCCCAAAGGCGCTGGCACCCGAGTTGCTCCTTCTGGCACCTGTTGGAAGGCGGTCCGGTCCAGTCGCCATCCCGCGTGTCCGGGAGGAGAGCCAACTCCCACCCGCCCCCCAGCCCCGCCTCCATCTCTGTCCATCTGGAGGTCTCGGCTGGACGGGGCGCCTTGGGGAGCCCCAAACTTTAACTTCCAAGGAACGGCTGGCGAGAGAGGCGCGGGATAGTTTTTGCTCTCCCTTTTCCCCGACCGAGGCCAAGTCCCACCCCCCCCCCTCTGCCCCTTCCCCACGCCGAGCTGCGCTCTGCCTCCCCTCCCGAGCATCTGATCTCCTCTCCACGAGACGTTGGAGACGGGAAAGAAGCGAGCAAATGCAGTTTCTCTCCCGCAACCCGGGGGGCAATTCCCTTCCCTCCCCCCCCCGCAAAGCGAAAGAAGAGATTCAATAAAAAAACACACTCACACTCACACTCACACACACACACACACGCTCCCTGGAACTGGAAGCATAAAGGCTCTCCCTCCTCCCTCCCTCCTTTCCCCCCCCCGCGGCCTTTTAACATTTTTCCCCCCTGCAATTTTAAAGTGCAGCATTCTTCCCTCTCAACGTCCCCCCCCACCACCACCACCACCACGCCGCAAGGCTTGGGAAGCAGGTGCGCAAGTACAATAAGAGCAGGCCGAGAAAAGCGAGGGAGAAGTGAAACGCCGCCGCCGAGATTTGGGGAGGCAATTCGGGGATGCTCCGGGGAAACGGGAGCGCGCGAGCGGGAGCGCGCATCCAGTTCGCGGCGGAGTCTCTCTCTCCCTCCCCCTCTTTCTTTCTTTCTCTCTTTCCTCTCCCTCCCTCTCTCTTCCTCTCTCTCTCCCTCTTTCTCTCTCTCTCCTCTCTCTCTCTCTTTCCTCTCCCTCCCTCTCTCTCCTCTCTCTCTCCCTCTTTCTCTCTCTCCTCTCTCTCTCTCTTTCCTCTCCCTCTCTCTCTCTTTCCTCTCCCTCCCTCTCTCTCCTCTCTCTCTCCCTCTTTCTCTCTCTCTTCTCTTTCCCTCTCTCTCTTTCCTCTCCCTCCCTCTCTCTCCCTCTTTCTCTCTCTCTCCTCTCTCTCTCTCTCTTTCCTCTCCCTCTCTCTCTCTTTCCTCTCTCCCTCTCTCTCTCTCCCCCTCTCTCTTTCTCTTTCCTCTCCTTCTCTCTTTTCTCTCCCCCTCTCTCTCTTTTGCAACGACAAATGTGGCGGGGGGGGGGCAGAGAAAGTTCAAGAGGTGAAAGCCCGGGACAGCACGACCGTTACAAATAGGTAGTTTTGTTATTTTTTTTACTGTCGGTACAAGCTGCTAAACAAAAGCGCCAGCTAAGTTTATTCCAAGGGCTCTTGGGCTGGGATCTTTGTGGGTTGAAAACGCACTTCAATACAAAGAAGGAAGGGGGAGGGGTGGAAAGAGAGGAAACGCGAGAAAAAGAGAAATATTCAGCCATGTTTGCTATATAAACTGCTTAAACATGCAGGGTTCGTCTCTGAGAAAGCCAAAACATAGCCGGATTTATTTGCTAGCATATTTTATTCCGAACCCGGGAGGGGGGGAGGAAGTTTTTTTTTTTTTTTTGCCCCCAAAGCTCTCCCTTTCTCCCGCTAAATTCTTGCTTTTTTTTCCGCGTAAATTTCCACGGGAAGGGATTTTCCTGATAGCCCCTGCTTAAACTTATACAATTCTACAGTTTTCATCCATTTTTTTTAAAGCTCGGTGAACTTTGTTTTTAAGTTTCAAGCAAATGGAAGGTGAAAATAGGAATGTGAAAATGTGTTCGGGACTTCCCCTTCTTTTCCTTTCATTTTGGGGGTATCCTGATGCCTCTCAGATCTCCGAAAGTATTGAGGATATTTAAAGAATTCCAGATCGGCTCGTAGGTAAAGCTCAGAGATACAGGGCAGAAACCCACAACCGGAAAAGTTGTTTGGAAATACACAAAAGGAGAAACGCCTGGAAGGACGCCCTGAACTTTCTGATAGGGGGTTTACGCATAGGCTTGGTGCGCCCCCTACTGGTCTCTCTGAATTTCCCCCTCTAGAAACAAAACGAAAGGCAGAGAGAGAGAGAGAGAGAGAGAGAGAGAGAGAGAGAGAGAGAGAGAGAGAGAGAGAGAGAGAGAGAGAGAGAAAGGACTATAGGGAAACTCCTGAAGTTAATAGTGAATATTATCGCTGTTATTAAGTTGGCCTGCTCTGCTTTGCTGACTTCATTAACATGAGTTGGCTTGTTCGTGGTTTCCTCTTCTGCTCAGAATGGTCGACTCAGAAGAGAAATGAGGGGGACTACAAACTTCAGACATGATTTTAATTTTCTTTAATTCCCTGATACGATTTACAGCAGCAGATAAAATCCTTTTTGGGGTTCCCGCCTTTCCAATACTGGAAAAAAATTAAAAAAAAATAAAGAGCAGCTATTCAAACCTTGTCTTATAGAGCCATCCGAGATGTCCAAACACCTTACGTTAACTTTATTGTTTACCCTAACGCTTGAAAAAGTCCTCTAAACAAACAAACAAAAGCAAAACTGAAACAAAACACGAGCAATTAAGTTCGAAGGAAAATAACGGGTATGGAGGTAGTGATTTGCTGGGGGGTAAAACAATGAAAACCGATGGATATTTAAAATTTACAGCCAAGCAGCTACGCGGCAAGAAAGGAAACCCTCCTCCTATCCAGTTTAACGCTATAACTAGATGCTTTTTTAAAAAACCGGGCCTGAACTCTCTAATAAGAGGTTAAAGTAGTTGGTTTGTCTCTCGCCTAATTGCATTTATCCCACAAATAAACCGTGTCTGCGTTAACAGGCGCATTTAGCGTTTTATTTTAATGAGCCGCGCTTTCGGCGTGGAGGCAGGTCAACGGTCCCCACCGTAGATACAGAATATATGGGCTGGATAAGATTAAAAATTATCTTATATATATAAAAAAATAGAATCGATCGGGAATTTCCCGCGCCGCTTTTTCTTTCCAGCGCCGGTCTTCCGCCCTTTCATAAGGTCTTTAAGTTTCTCTTAAATCACATTTATGCTCACGTAAGTCGAAACATCGAACCGCGGTGTCAAAAGAGGGTTCAAGACGAGCGGGTTCCCGCTTTTCCCCTCCCGCCTTTTCAAATCTCGGCCTTGTAGGGGAAAAAAAAAAAAAAGAGCCTGAGAGCCGGGTTTAAATCCGAAGGGGGATTTCAAAACCGCGTGGGGCTAAAATGTATGAAAATGCAAGGAAGAGGTTGGCCACGTTGCCCGGAGATATGGAGAAAAAAAGGTGAGTTAGATATTCAAGACAGGCAGCTGGACACGTTTCGGCCGGGTCTCTGTTTTGTTTACATACATACATATATTAGAGAGAGAGAGAGAGAGAGAAAGAGAGAGAGAGAGAGAGAGAGAGAGAGAGAGAGAGAGAGATCGATCTGTGTGATCTGTGTTTTAGTTTTTGAATATGAATCTACCTGAGACTCCTATCTTCAATATATATATATATATATATATATATATATATATATATATATGTATATGTATATGTATATGTATATGTATAT